GGTTAGCAGTGCCTGGGGTTAGTGAGAAATCAGCCTGCAGTGGTGCAGCAGGGGCCTTCGGATCTGCTGGGTGAGCAGGCAGGCAGTGCACTTAGAAGTCTGGGGTTTTAAGAAATTGTGGGGCTCCCCAGGGAAGATGTTACTGAACGTGACCCCATTAGAAGCTCCCCTCTGCCTCAGCTCCTTGCCTATAGAGTGGAGCCCTGACCCTCCCACCTCCTGAGATGCCTGTGGTCTCTTTGGCAAGGATGAGAGAGCAGATGAGAGCTCAGAGTGTTGTAGTCCGTTACCCTCAGGCTCCTAGGCCCATCCTGGCTGTGTCTTCTCAGGTGAGCACCTGTCCCTCTCAGCACCTCAGAGATCTGTGTGGAAGAATGGCTTTAGACCCTTGCCTGTCTCTGATATGATCACTAGCCTAATCTAATTGCTAATCCTAATCTAATATGATTGCTGTCCTAACCTGATTGGGAGAGCAGAGATCCATGTTACAGAAATCCATCTGGGCGTCAGTTTCCCGGAGAAAGGTGAGAATCAGACAATGGAGCTGTAGCTACCCAGGATGTACCTCGGTGTGGCTGCTGACTCGGGAGCCTGGAAGGTCCTGCGCTTGGGGCTGTTCCGAGGAGCCAGGAAGATGCTCAGATGGAGATAGTGGCATGGCTGAGAGGGGCCGCTCCCTGCAGGACAGGCGTTAGTGACGTCCACTGGGCAAATGAATGAATGGGCGAAGGAGACATGGAAACTTGTCCTGGATCCTCCTCCACGGAAGTCACGGGGAGCATCCAGGCCTTTCCTCTCCCTCAGCCTGGCCTGGAAAACTTCCTGCCCTCTGCTCAGGGTGGAGCAGCAGACAGTGCCTTGCCGGCAGGAAAGAAAACGCATGAAGACAGCAGCGGGGGGAGTGAGGTCACGGAGGGGCGGGAGGTGCGCGATGGACACCTGCGAGATCCGGTGGAGGACGCCAGAGTCGACTGATCCCCTGGCTGATTGTGCTCCATTTACAGTTTAAATTTAGGCTCCATGAAAGGAATCCTGTGGTGGCAAAGGCCAGCGCTGCGGAAGGCTGCAGGGTTTCCGGAAAGGAGCCAACACAGGGCCGGCTGCAGGCTGAGCCACCCGTGTCATGGATGTTAACTCATTTCCTCTTCCCAGCAGTCCTGGGGGCTGTAAGAGTTTACCACCCTCACTTTACAGAGGGGGGGTTCGAGGCTCAAAGAGGTAGAGTCGTTTGCCTAAGGTTGCACAGCTAGTCGAAGGTAGAGCTAGGACTTAAACCCTAGCAATCTGGGCCCGGGACCCCTTACTCCTAACTGTTATGCTGTTCAGCCTCAACTGTGACAGTAATAGTCAAAGACGTAATAGTAAATATTTACTGAGTGCTATCAATAGGTCAAGTGCTATTCTAAGGATATTTTTAATTGTATTAATTTTGCAGTACTGGAGATTAAACCCAGTCCTTCTCACTGAGCTATATCCCCATGCCTTTTTTACTTTTGATTTTTGTTTGGTTTTTTTGTTTTTTGTTTCTGAGACAGGATCTCTAGGTAGCACAGGCTGGCCTTGAACTCCCAGTGATCCTCCAGCCTCAGCCTCCCCAGGGCTGGGATTGCAGGAGAGCACCACCATACCCTGGCGACCCTTTAAATTTTGAGACAAGCTTTCACTAAGTTGCTAAGTTGCCCAGGCTGCACTTGAACTTACCATCTTCCACCTCTACCTCCCAAAGTACTGGGATTAAAGGTGTTTGCCATCACCTCCAGCTTGTCCGAAGGATTTTTAGAAGTTTATTCTCATAACACCTCAGTACAGGAGATTTCATGATTATCAGCTTTTTGCGTTTGGGGAAATGGAGGCCCAGAGAGGTCGAACGTGCCCAAGATCACACAGCTGGCAAATGGCAGAGCCAGGATTTGAACCCCAGCCCTTAGGGTGCAGTTTCAGGCTCTTAGGCATCGTACCCAAACAGCTTCCCGTAGGTCACAGATGCACCCTGTTACACAAGGAGGTACATTTAAGAGTGATCCTCAGGTCTGTCTGAGGTGGGGCGTGCCGTGTATCTGTCCCTTCTGTGGCCCAGGCCCAGGGAGGTCAAGCCACTTGCTCGAGCTTGCTCAGCACGTGTGCACTCACTGGGCTGTCTCGTCTTCCGCGCCTGGGTCTCAGCCACGCCCTTGCCCTGCCAGCCAACAGAGACATGGCGTCCATCGTGTCCGAGATCATGATGTACGTGCTTATCGTGGTGTTGACCATTTGGCTGGTGGCAGAGATGGTTTACTGCTATAAGAAGATTGCGGCTGCCACGGAGGCTGCTGCGCAAGAGAATGCGTGAGTGGGGTGGGCGAGGAAGGGCTGGAGAAGGGACGAACCCGGATGCCACCTGTCAGTGTCCCTGGGGCGGAGTGCGGGTGTCAGGCCCTGGTCTGCCTTGTGCTGTGGGCAGTTGAGCCAGACTGGTCATGGGGTCACCGTACCCCTGCTTTCCCCTACAGCTCAGAATACCTGGCCATCACCTCAGAGAGCAAGGAGAACTGTACAGGTGTCCAGGTGGCCGAATAGCCCAGGTAAGGTGGGTGGCAGGGCAGAGGCTCTAGGAGGGTTTGAACCCCCCAGGTCCATTACCCGCCCTCTCTCCTTCCCTTTTAGGCCCCGGGGCTCCGCCTCAAGGAAGAGCCAGCTGTAAGAGGGGACATCTAGGTGCACCCACCCGCAGCGGGGGAGGTCGTTCCAGGGCCTCCCCGTGCCTCAGAGTCCTGCCAGCAGAGCCGCCGGGGTGGGAGGGGACGGGGGACTGGCACCGCGCACACTCCTCACCCAGCCTTTCTCCTGCCCCATCACCCACCCACCGCCATGCATGATGGGTGAAGCAATACTGCCGCTGCCCCTACCCTTGCTTCTGCTGCCTGTTCAGGGAGGGGGCGGCGAGGCAGGGGCAGCGGCTCCGCATCCCTCCCTCTTGCTGATTTGCACACATCGGCCAGCTTCAGACTCGCACTGCTGGGGCCAGCCCCTCCCTCCCGGCTGGGGGTTGTGATGGGAGCCCAGAACAGTTCGGGGCAGGGGGTTCTGGCCCCACTGTGACCCCCGGTATCACGTCCCCTCCTGCTTCCTCCGGCTGGACCTGGGGTCCCCTCTCCTTGTGATGCACTCTGGCCCCCGCCCCCCCCCCCCTCTCTCACCAGCCTTCGACCGAGGCCCCTCAGAAAGGGGCCTGTTCTGCCTGGTCTCTACAGAAGTAGTTTTGTTCTTGAAATAAAGATTCTTGGACTTGATTTACCGTCTCTCTGCTGAGCTCCAGCACCTTCTACATCCGGCCCCAAATCTAAGAGCCTCAGTTTCCCCTCCTCTCCCAGCAGGCAGCCAGTCTCTCCCACAGACATTTAGAGCTGAATGGGAACGGTGAAGCCACTTAACACTTGCTAATGTCGCAGCTGAGGAGAGTTATTAGCTCACGGGAGTGGGTGGAGAGGAGCTAGGACAGGAGCAGCAGGAGGCTCTGGGCTGGGGGAAGGCGAAGCAGAAGTGGGTGGGGGAGAGAGAACACGGGGACAGACGGAGGAGGACGGCCTCCAGCTGAGCAACACCAGGGTGTCCCACTACGTTAGGTCACGGGTCTGAGGGTGAACCGGGCACAGAGGGCACGTGGGGGTGAGCAGGTGGGTTCGATTGTGGGACAGTCAGTCTGGGATGAGCAGCGTCGCTGGCCTGTCGGGTGTTTATCTGGCCCTGGGGTCTGTCATGGATGGCTCTTGGCTGCTGGCGGAACAGTGTGTATCTGCCTCTAGACACTTCCGGCCACTTGCCCTGGCCCTGAGCACTCTGTGTGGCCTTTTTTGGGCCAATCCCCCCCATCCCCCTATCGAGGACTTTCCTGGCTCCAGAGGTCACCGGGCAGGCTGCAGAGAGGCTGCCAAAGCAAACCAACCCCCGTGACTTGTAGGAAAGCAGCTGGGGGAGGGGCTGGGGGGGTGAGCAGGGCAATGCCTGCTGGCCCCGGGCTAGGCTGGGCTGGGGACCAGGGAAGGGACACAGGCACCAGGGGTTAGTGAAGTAAGGGGGCGGGGGAGAGGCCCAGGGCTGAAGCTGAGGCTGGCAGTGGGTGGGGATTGGGTCGGGCGGGGGCGAGAG